CTGGTACACGGCGGTCACTCCTCATTACTTTTTGATTCATAATAGCTACTTACTGGTTCGTTATGGTGAACAAAACATGCAGATACTTATATATAACCTGTGCTTATAGTGTAATAACCGACAAAGTATTTGTTCACTGATTGATGAACATAATTGAATCAATAATATGCACACCATATTTTTGAGTACACCAATGATTCACTCATTTTATTATCTAAATATATCAAACTACACACTATTGAATAATATTACAGCAAAAAAAGTATGAAAAATCAATCAGAGACATTGAAATAATTCGGTAATTATCTCTTTGTGGCAACTCCGGCCTGACAGCTTGCGAGCAACAGACCGCCTGGGACGCATGCTGAGTCAGCGCCTATAATTTGCCAGACTTCCCTGCCCTATAGCGAGCAATATATGCCACTTACGATTTTTTTATTATTTTTCCCGTGGTCAGTGAACACAAATTAATAGGTTAGAAAGAAAAAATATTTTTTTTTTTTCAAAATGACATGCGCCTGTGGGGATGACAGGATATTAAACCCCGAGCATGTTAAGGGTTAAAGCCATATATATTGTTAGGCTAGCATGTATTAGCTTAGGCTATGTTAAGTTTGGTTAGGTTACATTGAGTTGGGATAGATTAGGTTAATTTAGGTTAGACTGAGTATAGTTATGAAGGGATTTAAAATTTATAGGTGAACCGTCTTGTGTCTCTTAAGACTTGCATGCAGTTATATAGACAAGATCTTGCATAAGTACGAAAGCTGAAGATACTAATGAAAGCCAAGATTATAAAGAGCAGGGGTGTTCTCACCAGCAAAGACTCTTGACTTGACGTTCTGACAGTAGTTCTCGGCCTGAGCCTTGATCTCCACGTGCTTGTCGCAAGGACTCGTCTTATCTACCCCTGGTCCGTCTGGGCATACCTGTGAAAGGTAATACACACTTTAATGGTGGTCCACTTGCATGGCAGCTTTGAAAAACACAAAAGGGAGCTCTTGTGCAAATATACAATAAGAACTTGCTAATATGCAGTAATATCTTGCAAAAAATAAAGCAAAATCTTGTAACTAAATTTCTGAAAACATGCAGCTAGTTCATGAAAATTTACATTAAGATGTATCATAAAAACCACACATACACAACCATTTGTTTCTTGATATTTATATGCAAATACAAATGTGTTTTAATACACATTCAAATATATCCATGTGGATACATGTATTTGTGTACCATATGCATGAGGCCATGTGGGGTAATGTATTTGTGTACTGTATGCATGAGGCCATGTGGGGTAATGTATTTGTGTACTGTATGCATGAGGCCATGTGGGGTAATGTATTTGTGTACTGTATGCACGATGCCATGTGGGGTAATGTATTTGTGTACTGTATGCATGAGGCCATGTGGAGTAATGTATTTGTGTACCACATGTTATGAGGGCAGGAAATATACAAAAACAAAACCTAACACTCACATCACAACAGATTATATTAGCAAATTTATACCAGTATTGCCATCTCTACACGACTAATCTCACATGCCAATGTTACCAACTATACCACACTAATCTCGTATGACAATGTTACAATCTCTACACCACTAATCTCACATGACAATGATACGATCCGTACCCCTAAAATCTCACAAGACAGTATCACCAACCTGTGCTGTCTTCCACTTGTTACCAAAGAGTATAGGACTGGTCTCGACGTCTCCCTCAGGTGTGAGGAAGTCGTCGTGCTGGTTGTCGGTGAAGGTGCCGCAGAGGCCGGCCGTCTTGTCCCGGAACTTGGCGGGGGCGTCAACGTAGACGCGGGAGTGGCCATCCCACCACACCGCCAGCCCGTTGGTCAGCTCAACTATCCAATATACATTTACTTTACTACAGCCTTTAGGCAACAAATTTCCGTGCTCTTTTTTATCATATTATATAGCCAATCAATTCTGCTACCATGTGTATATTAAAGAATAAAATAATAATAAAAACAAGTGGAAGGACAAGCAATTATTCTCACAAATTTAGACAAATGATGTGAGTTTCTCCAAGGCTATGGGTTGTACAATTTTACCAGAGATGGTTATAAAAATATTGAAATAATAAAAAGAATAGTAATCTTGTTATGTAAATAAGTAAAAGGTAAACATATTAATATAGTTCAAAAGATATGAAAAAGGACAAAACTGGCAGCAGTTCTCACAGCAAAACATGAGATCAACACTTCCATCACAAGATGGAAGCTCACACTCACTAATTATATATATTTATTACATTTACTGATATTTTACAACAAAAATAATTCAATTACCTATTAAGAAATGTGTGTTTTTACATAAAATTCTCAGTGCTAGACATCTGATGTATGATAGGCAATAAAGACAAAGATAATGTATTACCCAAGACAAACAGATTTGAAGGATTCTTGATATATGCGCCCTTGACCCAAGTAGGCAGTTTCCTGAGCTCATTGCCATTGACAGTGATCTCCCTGCGCTGTTTGAGGTGAATGACAGTTTTCCCTATACGGATCGTCACCGACTTGGTACAAGATGGAAAATGAACCACCTCTGCATTTTGGATGTGCATGTTCTGTAGGGAGAGGAAGAGCTATTGATGCATGTTTACAGGAGAATAACATGTGTTTTAGTACTTGCTCAACTGTCCACAAAAATCCTTAGGCCTTTTAAGAATTTGCAGGTTTTCTTCACAGCTACAACGTCTACATCACAAAATCAGGACCTTAAGACCGAGCTTCTAGCCACCCTCAAAATTCCTAGCTCTTCCATAGGTCTTAGGCATTACTCAAAATTCCTGGGTACCTCCAAACGGCTTAAATACTTATGTTAAAGCCCGTAAGTTTACATCACACTTTACAGGTCTATCCCAAAATTAATAAATCTGTCTCATATTTCTTAGCACTAATACAACCAGTTAACTTACCTCACAATTTCCAAAATTAAATTTCCATTTCTGTTATAATTCCTAGACCTGACTTCAATCCCTAGCTATACCTTATATGCATGAAAAGCCTCAACTCTTAAACATACCTCACAATTATAAAACCGTCCATCAAAATCCCAAAGATTCCCACACAATTATAAAACCGTCCATCAAAATCCCAAAGATTCCCACACAATTCTAAGACCTCCCCTCAAAATTCCAAGAACTTCCCTCACATATAGATGCATATTGGCAACACCTATATTATCTCAACTCTCCCAAGATATACATTTTTATTAGTAAAGAGAAGAAAACAACTTGTTTTCACTTTACTTACAGCACACATGAGACAACTACACCTACTGAATCCCTTCTCAAAGGTCATCTACTCTACTGTTCCCAATAGTAGGTCATTAATCTTATTCCCTTCTGTAAACATGTTATCTACCCGACACTTGCCATAAGGTCATCTACTCTGCTCTTCCCATGAGCATCAACAGAGAATGGGCACTGTAATGTGAGCCTCTAGTACATGTTGTATCAGTAGTCTGGGTTCACAAAACAATTAGGAGAGGCCTACTAAATTGATGATAAACATGGGTTTGATATTAAAGAGTAACATCAGTGCAAATATTAATAAACAAGCAACACTTTCTAGAACAACGACTCCATAAAATTTATTCCTCATGCATTGAAGTAGATTATTAGTATGGTGACCTACAGGTACCAGTCTTTAACTGTGATTTAGCGGTACATGTCTGGTACAATGGTTTAGAGGTACAGTACAATTAAGCACACACATTTGTGTGTGGAGCTCAATAAAGCTGTGATGGATACTCACATCAGAAATGGTGCCAGCGCAGGGCGTGTTCTCGGCCTCGATGCTGAAGTCTTCACCCTGGACCAGGTAGTACGAACACATGCCCATGAAGTCAAAATGGCGGCCATCAAAGGTAGTGTAATGAGGGTCTCCCACCACAGCACAGCGGGCACTGCACTTTACCTCTGTACACACCCACTTTCCTCCCAGGCACGTGCTGTGGACAATATGACATGATCACTTACTCTCCTCCCAGGCACGTGCTGTGGACAATATGACATGATCACTTACTCTCCTCCCAGGCACGGGCTGTAGACAATGTCATGATCACCACTCTCCTCCCAGGCATGGGCTGTGGACAATGTCATGATCACCACTCTCCTCCCAGGCATGGGCTGTGGACAATGTCATGATCACCACTCTCCTCCCAGGCACGAGCTGCACTCATCTAATTGTGATTGCAGGAGTTGAGCTTCAGCTCCTTAGTCCCACCTCTCAACTCTCAATCTTCTAGTGTACAAGTTCCTGAGTCTATTGAACTCTATTATATCTATATTTGAAACTGTGTATGGAGTCTGCCTCCAGCACACCACTGCCTAATGCATTCCATTTATTAACTATTCTGACACCGAAAAATTATTTCACATGTTTTCGTGGCTCCTTTGGATACTCGGTTTCTATCTGTGTCCCCGTGTGCGAGTTTTCCCTTCCAACCCGTATTAAATAATCTGTCTTTATCTACCCTGTCAATTTCCATAATAACTTTTGTGACAATCATGTCTCTCCCCCTACCTCTTCTGTCTTCTTTATGCTGGAGCCGCATACTCCAGGATTTGTCTGACATACATTGTAGACAAGGTTCTAAATGGTTCCCTGCACTAATTTCTGATGTTAGCCAGCCTTGCATCCTCCGCTTATGATATCCTTTTGATGTGGGCTTCAGGAGAGAGATTCAGCATGATATCAACTCCAAGATACTTCTCTCTGCCGGCTTCGTGGACGACCTTATCTCCCATTTATTTGGTACCTTGTGTCAGGTCTCCTGCACCCGCATCTAGCTTTATTACTTTACATTTACTAGAGATAAACTCTAGTAGCCTTTTGTTGGCCCATTCATTCACCGTATCAAGGTTATCTTGAAGCCTCCTGCTTACTTCCATTGTATTAATCCTACTCATAATATTCACATCAACAGCAAACATTGAGAGGAATAGATTTATTTCCTCTGGGAGATCGTTTACACATATCAGAAACAGGATAGGTTCAAGGACTGAACCCTGCAGGACTCCACTAGTGACATCTCGCCACTCCAAGACCTCACCCCTCACAGTGACTCACTGTCTTCTGCTCTTTAGGTATTACCGTATCCAATGGAGAACCTTCCCTTTTCTTCCTACCTGCTTCTGCAACTTATGTACTAGTTTCTTATAGGGTACTGTGTCAAAGGCTTTTTTGGCAATGAAAAAATATGCAGTCTGCCCACCCTTCTCTTTCTTGCCTAATTTTTGTTACCATGTCATAGAATTCTATTAGAGTTGTGAGGCAAGATTTGTCATCTCTGAACCCATGCTGGTGATTTGTTACAAAGTTTTTACACTCCAGATGTTTTACTTTTATTTCTGTGGGGAGCCCCTATGGCTCCCTGGAGCTTATTGAGCTAATGTACTTTATATTAGACCGGGACATTAGCTATGGAGTTCAGACCTACCAGAGACCAGAGCCGGAACCTGGCCCCTTCAGAGAGGTTTCAGGGAGCAATGGCCCTGGAACACCCCCCTGTGGTTGAGGGTTTTCCTTATCTGCCATTGACTGGGGATAGGCACCCAGAAAGGCAACCGTTTTTGGCAACCGTTACGCAACCATTTTTGCCCGAAACACTATGCATACTAGTGGCTTTAGGTACTGTATGTACTACCTCTATCTTTAAGTCAAACAGAATGTTTGTACTGTAACTCTGCAGCTATGTATGTACTTTTCCTAAATAAATTATTATTATTATTATTATTATTATTATTATTATTATTATTATTATTATTATTATTATTATTATTATTATACTGTATTATTATTATTAAAGGTAAGCATAACAAAACAAACCCTACATGGTAAGAAATTAAAACAAAAAACCGAACAGAGGTAGAAACTCCCTACAATCCCAAGGAAACAAGCAAACAAGCAAACATCACACTTTACTGCCTTACCACTTGTCCGCACAGCCCTCCCCTCCCCTCCCCAAGGGGGGAAGGGGGGGCCCCAGACCTCACCACGCCAGCTGCCCAGCTCTCCAGTTCGTAAGCTAATGTCAACCGGGACAGACGCTTCTCTGGCCTCAAATTCCTGGCCAACGTTTGCCTGTGTGGGGTTCTCTGCTGTCTTGTTGTGGTGTGTGGTGGCCAGGAGTATCTTGAGGTTATCTTGAGATGCTTTCAGGGCTTAGCGTCCCCGCGGCCCGGTCCTCGACCAGCCCTCTTTTTTGTTACACACCCCCCAGGAAGCAGCCCGTAGCAGCTGTCTAACTCCCAGGTACCTATTTACTGCTAGGTAACAGGGGCATCAGGGTGAAAGAATTTTTTTTTACCATTTGTCTCCGCCTCCACCGGGGATTGAACTCGGAACCTCAGGACTACGAATTTGAAGTGCTGTCCACTCAGCTATTAGGTGCCTTAGGTTAGGTTAGGCGTTAGGCAACTACCTCGTCAGTGCCGGGGCTGCATGCGCTTAGGGGCTTCCTTCCCTATGCACCCTGTGAGTACTACCCCTGCATGTCAGAGTTATCTTCCCTGGGGCGTTTGGGAACTGTTCCCGTAGGGGTTCTTGCAGCTCGGCATTTGCCGCGCCATTGGGGCCAGCTGGGGCTTGGGGGCCCTTGTTTGGCCTTGGGTAGGGAGCGGTGTTGTGCTGGTTAGGGCATCAAAGTGTTGCTCGACCTGCCACCTACGCGGCGACCGGTTCCTGTTGCCTCTGGGGACGGTGTACTTTTGCGGGGGTTTTCTTTTCTTTTGTTTTTCTTTGCCTGGTGGGGGTCTGCCTGGTGGGACTATAGTTCCCGATACTGTTTTGGTGGCCCTCTGCTAGGCCCCCGTGCTTGTATACGTCATAGGGGTTTCAGTGTTAGCATCTTCCCCTTGTTAGTTTGGGTGTTAACCGGTTAGCAACATCTTGCCTGGGCGTCCTGTAGTTGTTACCCTATGGGCCCTGGAAAACCCTGTCGGGACTCGGTGGACCCATGGATGCGTCTTCCGAGTTCCTGCCTGCCTTGTGTGGGTTTGAAGGTTGCTGTGTGCTCTTGTCGCAGGGTGACAGTCACCTGTTTTGCCTCCTTCATGCTGCCTGTTGGGTTAACAACAATTTTGACCCGGAGTCTTGCGAGTCGTTTTCTCTGCTTGTGCTCCAGTTTTATTCTGATGATGTTGCTGTTAGGGTACAGGCAGCATCCGCATTGCATGTTAGGTTCCTCGCGGGGCTTATTGTTGCAGGGGGAGGCGTTTTCTTACCCCCTTCCCTGTATGAGTATGATTTGGGTTCGGCTCCTCCCCGGGTATAATTCCAAGCACCTTTGGGTACCTCGGTCCGGTCGGTCCGGAGGTTTTCTACTTCTTGTATCTCCGCAAAGGAGGTTTGGGATGTTCTTGCTGCATACCTCCTGCGAGACCCAGTTTATGCCTCTTTGATGGACCCGTTCTCTTTTGAGTTCGGATCTTCCCAGTTTTGGGTGCGTTTGGAGGTTTAGGAGTCTTCCTGGCTGGCAGACTCCCCATTCTTTTCGTTGGGGGCATGGCATGGGATCTGTCGGACCCGCACGCTTGATTGGCATGAAACTTCCACAGTTCTGCAGGTTTACCTGGGGGGCGCGTTTGAGCACCTTAATGAGTGCTTGTTCGCCCCTGTGCTTTCTCTGGATGTTGGCCTTTTGCAGTGTCGTGTGCAGGTTCCTTCTCTTTCAGCATCGTTGATTGCGTAGGATTTGTGCACCCATGGGCATTTGGCTTTTGGTCTTATGATTCTTTTCCCTTCTCAAGCTGTCTTCTGCCTGGCTTGAGGAGGACGTGGAGGCGTTGAGTGTCGGGCCTCCTCCAGTGATGCCTGGTTGAACATTTCCCTCTTTTAGTTCAGGAACTTCTCCTTGCTCTAATGTGAAGACATCCAGGAATCTTTTACTGAGTTCTTCACACACCTCCTTTTCATTTGTAGTGAAACTGTCTGCCCCAATCCTCAGTTTCATTACATGTTCCTTCACTGTTGCTTACCTTCTGATGTGGTTGTGCAGCAATTTCGGTTGGGTCTTTGGGTCACTGGTAACATTGATGCCACCAGCCACAATATTGCCATATGTAATAGTGGTGCCACAGGTAACAGTGGTGCCACAGGTAACAGTGATGCCACAGGTAACATTGATACCACAAGTAACAGTGGTGCCATAGGTAACAGTGGTGCCACAGGTAACAGTGGTGCCACAGGTAACAGTGGTGCCACAGGTAACAGTGGTGCCATCAGTAATATTGATGTCACAGGTAACAGTGGTGCCACAGGTAACAGTGGTGCTACAGGTAACAGTGGTGCCACAGGTGACATTGATGCTACATCAAACATTTATACCACAGGTAACACAGCATGGAAAACATATCCAGTAAAGTATGCCATATTGTAGAACAAAAAAATTAACACAAAAGATATTTTAAATTAAAATATGGCAGGTCACCTGAAGACAAAATCTCAGTAGTGAGAAAATGGAAGACGGGCTTCATGCTGAAAAAACAGCAAAGGTCTCTACTATATATTCTACAAATGTTTAGTCAATATGTAACTGGTTGAATATACATGCCATAAAAGACTATCGATATAGACATTAACTGAACCCATTATGTGCCTCCGTAACCCTTTCCACTACTGCCCACAGACTGGGTATGGGGTGCATAATAAATGAACAAAATGAAATTAAACGGTACAAAAGCGATTCCATCTTGCAGGTTTCCTAAAAAAAAACAAATAGTATAAGTATTTGCTGAATGGCTTTCAGCAGGCTAAAATACTTCTTCCGACACCTTTAATGCATCATGTGACCATGAAGGTCCTGCACCAACACCTCACAAAAGGCTGTACAGTACCTTGCTACCTCCTCAATTGGCTCCTGAATATGAAGTAAGGTTGTCTCAAATGCCCGAAATCCTACGCATGTTAGTGACTTTGTAAGAATGTAAGAACACCAATGTTATGTACTCTCACAAACCCAATGTAATTCATGTATACAAATAAATAAATAAATAAATAAAATATATAGATATTTGACAAGTGTAGATAGTGTACAGCAATTGTCTAAGACTGCTTTTAGCACAAGAGGCTACTGACCAAGAGTTGCAGTCATTAAACACGATGTCGCCAATGTTGTACTGCTTGTTGTGATAGGTGCAGGGGCAGTTGCTGGGGTTGATGCAGCGGCCGTTGTGAAGCAGCAGGCTGGGGGGACAGTCGCAGCCCTCCACACAGAACTCTGGCCACTCTTCGTCCTCCGCCTGGCCACACCGGGTCTGGCTGGCCTGCATGCACGGGTTGTACACCAGGCCCCCCTCACACCTCAGTGCTGCAGTCACATTAACATTTGTAATGCACTCTATATATATAGTCAGTGCACAGTTATTACATTATTAAATAGGTTGAAATCCTATGCATATAAGATGGATAATGCCATAAAAGTTGTAAATATTTATCCCAATATTTTAAGCACTGTCTTATCAACAAAGGAATCTGTTTAATATTCATTAAGTAACATGAATAACTCAAACATGAAAACAAATTGTTAAAAGAAAATGAAATGACTTTTTTGCAAAACCTTAAAAACTAGTTTAAGATTATATAAATAACAGAACCTTGGGAAGAGCTTTTACAATTGCAGAGGCTGGGTGGGTGTAGTGTGGCGGCAGAACACACAGGGTCAGGCAAGGCTATGGCAGGTATGGATTTGCTGTGACTCGTTTTTTTTTATTAAGTTGCACCTGCTTCCCCTTGTTCAACCATTTTTAATTAGTCGTGTACTTTTTGACTTGTATTTTATTTTGCTACAGGGAGCAGGACAATATTTTCAGCTGAGGACTTGTTTCCTGGACTGTACTTCTCAACATAAATTCCTGTACTTTGTTCTACTTTAAAAATGATGTCAGTTCCTTTCTGTATTCTGCAGCTACACCCACGGCTCGTGCTCTAAGAAACTTGCAAGTTGTTGTATAGGTTTATAATACTGGTAGTGGCAAGTTGTGTCACACTGTGTGCGGCTGATGATCACCCACAGTTAGTGTGCTACAGTGACGCATCTTCCATGTCACTGCAATCTTCATGTAGTGACTTCCACATTATATTTTCCCCAAAAACTTTTCATCACCATTTATTCTAGAACTACTTTGAAGTTTAAGTTTGAACTTAGATTAATATTTTTCCTTCACTAAGCTAAGCACTGTTGACAGTTCACATGAGTGATTTTCCATATAAACACTTTTTCATCAACTAGTCTTCCATAAGACTTTTTATCACTTGCAAATATACTGAAAGTGGTACGAGAGATTTTGGTAACGTCAGCAATGTATGTTGCTATGATGGCGGGCCACAAAATGCAGCTTTGTGGTGCACCACCCTGAAACATTATACATTGCCCGAAACGCATTGCGTAATAGTGGCTTTAGGCATTGTATGTACTAGATCTATCTATATATCAATCCATTAATGTAACATCACTTGTATGTATATACCTTACCTGAATAAACATCTGAATCTGAATCTGAAACATCACATTCATTTTCACTTACAACTAATTTAAGTGCTGTCAGTCAGTGTTAATCAAGCCTACTATTTTTCCCCTATATTTTTGGGGACGATCTTTTGTATGGAGCTTCATCGAACGTCTCTAAGAAAGTCACAAAAAACACATGATCATTGAATTGACAAAGTTTCTAGAAATGTGAATAATTTAATTAAACCATTTTTCACTTCCATGGAGTCATTTGGCGAAGTTTGATGAGGCTGATACGATGCTTTGATTAGGTTGTGTTTTGTTAGGTACCTTATGATAACATCTCTCAGATCAAGATGATGGAGCGTGGATAGTTTCCTTGTGCGCACTCTCTTCATTTTTTGAAGATTGGGGCAAACATTAGCATATTTAAATTGTTAAGCAAATCGTCTTTGGCACTGATGGTGTTTTGGACTGAAATTTATCAGCCTCTCGTATTACAGTATATTTGGACTAAACACAGCAAGATGATAGGAATTATTATGAGACTTGTGAAGGTCAGCATATTCTAATTCAGCAAAAAATTTAGCAGTGTAATGACCAGGGTGGTTCATAGAGAAAAACAAGGGAGAAAAACAAGTACATAAAAAAGAATGCATGTTCAAGTCACTCCAATGCTTTAAAATGATTTTCATTGATATATCACGCCATTGTGATTTCTCTGTCAACAAGTTCATATCTCGTGTCAGCTGGTTGGTCCCGGGGTTTTTACAGCGCTGCTGGCGACATGATTAGTTGAGAATATGTAAACTACTGACTATGTTTCAACACCTTACAGGTTGAAGTTACCTAAGTATTGAATAGCCAGTAGGAATGTATATTTATAATTTTTTTAATAACTGGCAAGTTAACTTTATGGAAGGAACAGTTACAGTAGGAGAGTTTTTCCAGTATGCTGCCTGGGGGAGGCAGGGTAGATTCAATTGGTGTATATCAGTCTCAGGAAAACTATGTAGCTGACATGCATCACTAATGGTCCGTAAGTCGTTCCAATAAGATTGTTGCCACCATGTTATATATATGTGTATGTGTGTGTTTGTATGTAGCACTCTGCATCTGGCGTACAGGGCACCTTAACCACTCGACCAACACGACCGAACAAAAGAGGATGGTAGCCGAGGCTAATTCCCCATCCAACCCCGCCGGCACTCTGATGGTAATCTTGGGCATGGTATTTTATCAAATCACCTCATTCTTTGGGGCACACGAGAGGAACACAAATGCGAACAAGCCTGAACGGTCTCCAGGCATATATGCAACTGAAAACTCACACCCCAGAAGTGACTCGAACCCAAACTGCCAGGAGCACTCTGCGTCTGGCGTACAGGACACCTTAACCACTCGACCAACACGACTGGACAAAGTTGCATATATGATTTGAACACAAACATATTGTAAAGAAATATAGATAAATGTGGGTTAGAAACTTACGGCACAAGTCCGGTGAGCGCCATGATCCAGTTATTTCCCCAGTGTTGACACATTCTCTGGAGAAGGCGGCGAAGGACTGGCAGGCGCACGTCTCCCGGTCCTGGGAGTCACAGCCACAGTAGTCCCAGCGGCAGGTGTTGACAAAGGGCTCCACGTTCACCGCCTGCATACACACACACATGGTTCTTTACCCGCCACAACACTACCTATGTTAACCATTATAAGTATGCAACAGGTTTTCAAAACACAACAAAACTGCAGCCTCAGTTTACCTATCAAATAAAGAGACAAGGAAAAATTGCAGTGTATTTATTCCTAAGTAAAATAATTGTTGAGTTGGTGACTTATTAAAATGGTGTGCAGCCTCGCACACCAGTCTCACTTGAGGCTCCCACTTTGAATGCATGCAGGAGGTATGAAGTATTATAATTCACTTCATATTCTAGCCTGTGGTGCAACCCGTTCTCTTGAGTTTTCACAATGGACTAAATACAGGGTACTAAGACGTGAGATCCCAAGACACTTACCTAACCAACCTATCCATAGAAAACAGAGGTGTTTGTGAGCTGCTATCTTACATCGTACCCCGTATTTTGGGGATAATAGAGTACAAAATGCGGTGTAATGTTTTTGAGGACATGTTGGTATGTAACCAAGGTTTGTTGGTGCCCTTGAGAACACCTCGTGTCACTGATGCGAATGGTTAACGTGTTGTGATTTATCTAACACCTTGATCTTCTGCAGGTGATCCATGTGTTGAATTTCACCTCCCTTTATTACCTTGAGATGCCGTAAGCCAAAGGTGACCAAGGTGTTGTGACTCACCTAGTTTAACCATCTTTCTGTGTCGATGAGTACCCATAAAAGACCAGGCTCTCTGCTAAACTGTGAGGAAAACGAAACACCAGCAATTTTCAGACATTTTCATTTGGGTTCAAGAAATGAATATACACAACTCACGAGAACAAATGCCATGTAAATAGCAACATGAGGCTTAGAAGTGAAGTTAGAGAAACTGATTAAGGAAACTTATTTTCTCGTAACATCAAGAACGTCAAAAGATGAGAAAGCAATACACAAAGTACGAATGGGAGTTGGGTATTGATGAAGAAATTGAGACGTGAACTATTATATTAACTACAGAACTCCCAACTTCTTGGGAGGTAAGTTCAAATATCCAAAGAATGCAAGATTTCTAGGAATAGCCTCAAGTAACTATAATGTGTACGATAATAACAGGAGGCTGCCTCAAGCTATTTTAATATCTAAAATGTTAAAGAGTTAGGTAACTGTTGTGGGTTGCATTCTGGGAGAGGTCAGTCATCAGCTAAGGATAGAGGTGGCAAAACTATGGAACGCGTGCCCAGGGTGGCACGCATGCAAATGTTGCTGGCATGCAGTGCCACCCCTTGATTCTTTAAACCCCATCCATAATAAAGATTATCATTAATGCCAAATGAAGCAGCAAATGGGGAAACAGACATTCAGAGTTTTGAAATGCAATTTGCAAGCATCATTGATTCAATTGTTGATCATTTTTTTTGTCAGATTTACTAAATTCAGGTCATTTGCAGAAATTCAGGTAATTTGCATCTGCAAAATTCATCAAAATTCATTTAAATTCATCAAATTCATCTAGTAACATTAGACAAACAAATTGGAAATGTTGCAGTACATTAATTTGGGTAATTTTGAGATGCAATTGCCTGCTTTACAAAGCAGCTCAATTTGGAGACAAAAGTTTGTTAAGAGCTGAATTATAAAATATTGAAAGAAATCAATTAGTGATTGGATTATGGGAGAAAATTGCACAAAATGAGGTTTTGAAACTGAAAATTCTGGCAATGCCAGTATTAACAGTATTTTATCGACATATTCATGCGAGTCATTATTTCCAATGATGAGCTTTGTCCAGTCTATTATAGAAGTAGACTTACTGATGAAACAAGTGCTGCAGGCATTGCTCAAAAGAACCAATGACCGACACCAGGCTTATAGGGGGCTTGACAGCTGAGTGGACAGTGCTTCAGATTCGTAGTCCTGTGGTTCCGTGTTTGATTCTCGGTGGAAACAAAATGGGCAGAGTTTCTTTTACCCTGATGTGCCAGTTCACCTAGCAGTAAATAGGTACCTGGGAGTTAGACAAATTCTATGGCTGCTTCCTAAGGGTGTGTAACAAAAAGGAGGCCTGGTCGAGGATCAGGCCACGGAGACGCTAAGCCCCGAAATCATCTCAAGAAAAAGTTGCGAGGGACTATACTGGTGTTACATGGTGTAATACCAGCAGGAGAAATATAACACTATATGAGGTTGGAAATTGCAACTTCCTACATGGCAAGCTGGTCCAGGGCATCTTCACAAAGAAGGCAATGCAAGTGAGAGAGGAAATAACTCACCTGACGACATCTGTTGAACCTCTTGTCATTAATTAGCCGAGAGCAAAACTGATCCGCCTGGTAAGCCACAGAGATGTCTTCACAAGGATGTGTCGTATTTGGTTCTCTCAGACACGACTCTGTGGAGACAACAGTTTCTCAGGTAAATTATTATAGATCCTGTAATAATCCACAGAAGATCATCTGTCGTGTTGCGAATTGGAGAATGTTCATCGATAACGTAATTTGGTGAGACAATAAAAGTACATTAATTACATGTACCCACAAATTTATATATATAAACATTATTCATTGTATGTACACACATTCATAAATATGCACGCAAATGTATTTGTGTATGGTGCATATCTGGATATACTGAATATATGTCTGAATGTATTCAACTATGGTTGCTTACAACAAGCTCCATTCCTTGGATTCCACCCCATAACCATGAATCAATGTAAGTAACGTTTGTGTGGCTGCTGGAGTGCATGTATGTTTGTGTGGCTGCTGGAGTGCATGTATGTTTGTGTGGTTGCTGGAGTGCATGTATATTTGTGTGGCTGCTGGAGTGCATGTATGTTTGTGTGGCTGCTGGAGTGCATGTATGTTTGTGTGGCTGCTGGAGTGCATGTATGTTTGTGTGTGCTGTGAAGATGGGACACCACGAGCATAGCTCTCATCCTATAACTACACTTAGGTAATTACACTCAGGTAATTACACACAAACATGAATCCACACAGATATCCACCCACAGAAGCATACACAAATACAAACATTTACCCACATAAACATACACCCACATAAACATGCACCCTCATAAACATGCACCCTCATAAACATGCCCCACTTAAACCTACCCCACACTAACATGCCCCCACACTTTATTCATCAGGTAAATTAATAGAGTTTATTGTTATTTGGAGAGAGGTAATGAGTCAAGATATAAAGACTATAATAAAGCTCAAGAGATGTTATACCAATCATCATGGCAGGAATACTAACCCCCTAAGATCCCAGCCTTCCAAGAGTACAAGAAGGAGTGAATGTTGGTCACTGGAGTGCCATCAGAGTTGCTCCAGTCATTGTCGGGATGACCGTCCAGCCGACCACACAGTCCAGATGTTTGGTTCCACTGCACCTCGCTCAGGTCCGCCACCACCAAGTTCTGAAACCCAGTCACATATATCTATCATACACCTCAAGCACCACCTATATTCACCTCCACTTGTTATGACGTACACATGAGCTAACCTTATCCTGTAGGTATTCAGCCCGTCCTCTCACAACGTAACAAAAATGGTGTATTAAGTTGGTTGAACCTACTCTAATCATAGATTCACGAATAGAAAATGAGGCAGCCTGTCAATTTTGCGAGTTGCAGGGATTTAATTAATCTTCCCTGTAGCTTGGGTGCTGCCTGTTACAGAAAGCTATCAGGATGTGTTAACTCCTCTCACCAAAATTAAAATTGTGATTTAAAAGTATAATGTATTAAACTGTTGCAGGAGGAACGAAACCGACGATAGTTGGTGTAGTTTGGCCCAGAACTGCGCAATTGATGCCAGGAAATGAGAGCCAATCAGAGTCGCCGACTGAGACAACAAGCACACCGATAAATTTGGGTGTAGTCAGTGCTCTACTCAGTCCAGGGGCATGAACATGAAAAGCTGGGCTTACAGTCCCAGCTCGTACCTTCAAACAAAGACCCAAAAGTGATTCCATGCACCCGCTAGGAGTGCATGGAATCACTCTTGGCGGGTGCTTGGTGGTCTCACTTAAGATTAGTGTGTGTATGTGTGTTGTGCAAGTTTTATTGTGGCAGCTATTGCTGAGGGAAGGAAGTGTTCAAGCTGTTATTGTTGAGTATTCTTTACAGGGAACATTGCCTATAATTATTGTTCACGTGATGGGAACTCCGTTTAAAGGTAAATATTATCGTCACTTATGCATAAATGTGTCTGGGTACAAGACTCGTTTTCAGGACTGAATTATCTCGAAGTAAACATTTGAATATTTTTTTTTATATCACGTCTATGTTGTTGATTTCTTTCTGTTAGCGTTTGCTTGGGCTTACTTGTAATTTTACGATGACATTAATTAAGCATAACATTTGTGGTGCTTGTTTAAATGTTAATGAAACTATAGCCTAGTGGTCATTGTTTCTGTTTATTAAGAGACACCTCAGGGAGAATGAGTCTTAGTTTACATTAGAGGGCGTTGATACCACGTTAGTCTGGGGATGTGTGCACAGTACATAGGTTATTAGCACTTACTGACAGTTTCTTCTGGTTGGAAGGAAAAGCATTCCACCTGCCTAGCATAGCCCCTCTAGTAATCTAGAAAGTTTCAGGACAAGACGTGGAGGCTCTGTAAATACTAATTTACGTTGTAGTGTAGTAGGTTCGTTATTCCATTATTTATTTATATATATATATACAAGAAGAAACAATGGGGGTTAAACAGAGAACATAGAATTTAAGTTGAATTTACATTCTCGTTAAGCCACTAGCACGCATAGCGTTTTGGGCAGGTCCTTAAACTAACAGATAATTTTTAGATAATTAACAGTAAAATTGACAAAAAAATTTTTTTTTGAGATATATACAAGAGTTGTTACATTCTTGTACAGCCACTAGTACGCATAGCGTTTCGGGCAAGTCCTTAATCCTATGGTCCCTGGAATACGATCCCCTGCCGCGAAGAATCGTTTTTTCATCCAAGTACACATTTTACTGTTGCGTTAAACAGAGGCTACAGTTAAGGAATTGCGCCCAGTAAATCCTCCCCGGCCAGGATACGAACCCATGACATAGCGCTCGCGGAACGCCAGGCGAGTGTCTTACCACTACACCACGGAGACTGTCGCTCCGTGTTTACAGTTTATTTTAAATGTTTACAGGTATTTTACAGCTTTACTTTACAAGTACATTGCAAGCAATTTTGACACAAACAGACTAGAATAAAACACAATAATGAACAAGGATTACTAGGTATATTAGAAAAACATCTCAGGGTTATACATTGGTTCAATGAAGCACAATATGAGGATCATTACAAGGAATAACGCAGTAGAATATGCACTCAATACAGCATGATATCAGATGATCTAAGATTACAATGGTAAAGTAATATGGCTTAGGTACAAATATTGAGGGATTGGGTAGCACTAGAAACAGTGCGAAGAAAAGCTCTAGGTAGAAGATTATGAAGATAATATTAGGTATTTTTTATTTTTATTTTTGAATAAGGCAAAAGTTGGATAGCTTTTCAATTCATTAGGGAGTGAGTTCCATAGACTAGGTCCCTTTATTTGCGTAGAGTATTTACATAGATTACCTGAATTTACCCAAGGGTCACTAACACTAGTGGCCACGACGAGGGCAGGAAGCCACCATCTTGTCATATGTCCCCTGTGAGAAGGTGACCTCCGGCCGACTTCTCAGCTAGCTTACATTTATTAGATAGTAGAAGAAAGAGGTATTTTGGCCTTTGAAAATTTCTGAGATCTATCTTCCTTGTTATAGGAGATATGAGGTCAAAATTAGGGGTCTTTGGAATCTGTATGCCTTCAGCATCCCAAGGAACCAACCCTCGTTGTGGTAGCCATTCTCAGGGATTAGTTACAGGTTTTCCCTGAATTCTGTACAGTTGGCCCATGGCAACAGCAAGAAGGAATAAGGGGGGACTGTGTTTCAAGTGTCTAACGGCTCCCTGCCGGTGACGTGATGTCACCAGCCGACTTCGTCTTGATTGGGTCCCGCACCTATGGCCTTAAGCCCTCGCACATCGCTGATTGGTCGAGCCTGGCACTGCAAGGGGAGCCGCAGCATCGAGTTTTCCCGCCCGAGGCGTTATTCTGTGTTTGAACGGCGAGCTGCTAGGATGTGGAAGCTTGGTCCTGGCCAAGACCTCTGTTCCTCCTGTCTATACCTACGCTCGTCCAGCTGAATTTGATCCCACACTGTCCCCCACTGCAGTTGCAGAATCCTACAGTAGCGGGGCGCCGTTAGAGGTCAATATAAAGAAGAGTGAAATCCTAAGCCATCACATGGTACTCCACAGGAGCGACCAGACTGTGTCAAAGTGTATCTGTTATTATCGGCTAGGGTATGAGCGATCCATCATCCTATTGCTCAGTAACTGTGAGAAAAGAAGAATCAAGTAGTGATTCCAAATGTTTGAGTTTAGATCGTGTTTAGATAATATCGTGGTATCGTGGTATTGATAATTTAGATAATAGATTTAAATAGATTATTTTAGATTTTGTATTCAGGTAAAGGTACATACATTGAGTTACATACATAATGTTAGATTGAAAGATAGAGATAGTACATACAACACCTAAAGCTTTACTTCTTTATTATTTAAGGACAAGGGTCGTAGGGGAAACCTTGCTCTATTGAATACGGGCGAAGATAAGAGTAGCCTAGTTACTCCCCATTTGCTAAATATTTCACTGCAATCTTGGTCCAAATACCACTCCACCCACTCCTCTGACCCCACACAGTGCTGGTGACTTACTTTCATGTCCCACTTGATGGTCAGTCCCAGGCCAGACACCTTGACCACCACGAAGTGTGCCACTCTCTCCGACACAACACCGTTCATCTGACCAGGGATGGCCAGGTTGGTGTCCCGGTAGGCCAGACTTGGCTCACCCGTCTCTGTGGACACAAGCAGCTCTGGTTACACATGGCGGTGTGTGTGTGTGTGTGTGTGTGCAGGGGGGGGGGGAACTCAGACATTTCTTTAAGGAATTTGACTGGAAAGACTTGCTGTTAGGACATGAAGTAAATGAGATGAAAGTCAAGTTTTGTGAAATATATGATAAAGGCACAAAAAAATTTATACCTAAGCAGAGATGCAGAACTAGGAAACAGGATTGGTTCGACAGAAATTGCAAGAGGGTCAGAGACCAAAAGACACAAAAATGGAATCAATATAGGAAGAGGCCAAACCCACAAACATACCAGCGATACAAAGAAGCAAGAAACAACTACACAGCAGTGAGGAGAGAGGCAGAAAGAAATTTTGAAAAAGGGATTGCGGACAAATGTAAAACAGAACTAGGTCGATTCTTTAAATTCATAAACAACAAATTACAGGTAAAGGATAATATTCAGAGGTTGAAAATGGGAAATAGATTCACAGAAAATGAAAAGGAAATGTGTGAAACATTAAACAAAAAGTTCCAAAGTATGTTTGTACAAAAGGAAATCTTCAGGGAACCAGACACAATAAGAATTCCAGAGAACAACATAGAGCACATAGAGGTGTCAAGAGACGATGTGGAAAAAATGCTCAAGGAGCTAAGTAAGAACAAAGCAGTTGGTCCAGATGGAGTTTCACCATGGGTTCTGAGAGAATGTGCACCTGAGCTCAGCATTCCACTTCAACTGATTTTTCAGGCATCTTTGTGTTCAGGAGTTGTAGCTGATATGTGGAAAAAGGCTAACATAGTTCCAATCTACAAAAGTGGCAGCAGGGAAGACACCCCCAACCCCCTCAATTATAGACCTGTATCATTGACAAGTGTAACAGTCAAAATATTGGAAAAAATAATTAAAACTAAATGGGCTGGAACAGTTGCAGAAAAACGTTATAATATCAGACAGACAGTATGGTTTTCGATCTGGAAGATCCTGTGTAACAAATTTGCTCAGTTTCTATGATCGAGCCACAGAGATTTTACAGGAAAGAAATGGTTGGGTTGACTGCATCTATCTGGACCTAAAAAAAAGAAAGGCTTTTGACAGAGTTTCACAAAAGAGTTTGTTCTGGAAACTGGAACATATTGGAGCAGTGACAGGTAAGCTTCTAACATGGATGAAAAATTTCCTGAGAGAAAAATGAGAGCCATAATCAGAGGCAATGTATCGGACTGGAGGAATGTCACAAGTGGAGTACCACACAGTTCAGTTCTTGCACCGGTAATGTTCATTGTCTACAAAAACGATCTACCAGATGGAATACAGAATTATATGAACATGTTTGGTGATGATGCTAAGATAATAGGAAGGATAAGAAACCTAAATGATTGTCATGCCCTTCAAGAAGACCTTGACAAAACAAGTGTATGGAGCACCACTTAGCAAATAGAATTTAATGTGAATATATGCCATGTTATGGAATGTGGAATTGGAGAACATAGACCCCACACAACCTATAAATTATGTGAGAAATCTTTAAAGAATTCTGACAAAGAAAAAGATCTAGGGGTGGTTCTAGATAGAAAACTGCCTTCTGAGGACCATATTAAGAACATTGTGCGAGGAGCCTATGCTACACTTTTTAACTTCAGAATAGCTTTTAAATACATGGATGGAGAAATACTAAAGAAATTGTTAACGACTTTTGTTGGACCAAAGCTGGAATATGCAGAGGTTGTATGGTGCCCATATCTTAAGAAGCACATCAACAAACTGGAAAAGGTGCAAAGACATGCCACTAAGTGGCTCCCAGAACTGAAGGGCAAGATCTACGAGGAGAGGTTAGAGGCATTAAATATGCAAAAACTAGTAGAAGAAAAAGAGACAATATGATCACTACGTACAAAATAGTAACAGGAATCAAAAAAATTGATAGGGAAGAATTCCTGAGACTCGGAACTCCAAGAACAAGAGGTCATAGATTTAACCTAATGAAACAAAGCTGCCAGAGAAATATAAGAATATTCACTTTTGTAAACTGAGTGGTAGACGGTTGTAACAAGTTAAAAGAGAAGGTGGTGGAGGCCTAGACCGTCAGTAGTTTCAAAGCGTTATATGACAAAGAGTGCTGGGAAGACGGGACACCACGAGCGTAGCTCCCATCCTGTAACTACACTTAGGTAATTACACTTAGGTAATTACCTGTGGCCTGGAGTACATACTCATCATCCTCTAGAGTGGGACCAACAAGTGGGACCAACCAGAGGGAGCAGTAAGTGGGACTCACCTGTGGCCTATAGAACATACTCGTCGTCCTCTAGGGTGGGACCAACAAGTGGGACCAACAAGTGGGACCAACAAGTGAGAGCAACCAGTGGGGTCAACAAATGGGACCAACCAGTGGGATCAATAAGTGGAACCAACAAGTGAGACCAACCTGATTCAATTTGAAACCTGATTCATAGCGCCAAAGTCAATAAAATATCAAAGTGAGAACCCGTGGGTTACCCTTACTAGTGATACGTGACTTGAGGAGCTCGACGCCTCAGCGGATAGAGACTTCAACATTGTGTTGAGGTCCTGGCGGTTGCTCCCGCCTTTCTAAGGTCAATCCTAAAGGAAAAATCTCACACCTAGCAACAAGATAACATGACTAAGCAAGACGATAACATGACTAAGCATGAAAATATTATGGCGTAGCAAAGAAGATAACATGACCTAACAAGAACAAGTGGGACCAACACGTGGGACTGACCTGTGGCCTGGAGAACAAACTCGTCGTCCTCTAGGAAGATCTGGATGACTTTGGGGCAAGATGACCCTTGACAGCCGTCAGCCGTGCGTAAGTTGACGGTGAAGGTTCCATGGGTCGAATCCTTCACCAGGGTGTAGGGACACGAGCTCTCGAAGCTGTCAAGGGAACACATGGTTATGGGACAGGGTCTCGACATTGTCAAGGGAACACGTGGTTATGATACGGCGTCTCAAAACTGTCAAGGAAACATGTGGTTAAGGCACGGGGTCTCAAACCTGTCAAGGGAACGCGTGATTATGGCACGGGCTTTTGACACTGTCAAGGGAACACGTGGTTATGACACGGCATCTCAAAACTGTCAAGGAAACACGTGGTTATGGCACCGGGTCTCGAACCTGTCAAGGGAACACATCATTATGACAGGGCTCACGAACCTGTCAAGGGAACACATCATTATGACAGGGCTCACGAAACTGTCAAGGGAACATGTGGGTTATGGCACAGGGTCTCGAAGCTGTCAAGGGAACATGTGGTTATGAAACAGGGTCTCGAAGTTGTCAAGGGAACATGTGGTTATGACACAGGCTTTTGAAGCTGTCAAGGGAACATGTTGTTATGACACGGGGTCTCGAAGCTGTCAAGGGAACATGTGGTTATGACACAGGGTCTCAAAGCTGTCAAGGGAACATGTGATTATGACACAGGGTCTCGAAGCTGTCAAGTGAACATGTGGTTATGACACGGGGTCTCGAAGCTGTCAAGTGAACATGTGGTTATGACACGGGGTCTCGAAGCTGTCAAGTGAACATGTGGTTATGACACGGGGTCTCGAAGCTGTCAAGTGAACATGTGGTTATGACACAGGGTCTCGAAGCTGTCAAGTGAACATGTGGTTATGACACGGGGTCTCGAAGCTGTCAAGTGAACATGTGGTTATGACACGGGGTCTCGAAGCTGTCAAGTGAACATGTGGTTATGACACAGGGTCTCGAAGCTGTCAAGTGAACATGTGGTTATGACACGGGGTCTCGAAGCTGTCAAGTGAACATGTGGTTATGACACGGGGTCTCGAAGCTGTCAAGTGAACATGTGGTTATGACACAGGGTCTCGAAGCTGTCAAGTGAACATGTGGTTATGACACGGGGTCTCGAAGCTGTCAAGGGAACATGTGATTATGACACGGGGTCTCGAAGCTGTCAAGTGAACATGTGGTTATGACACGGGGTCTCGAAGCTGTCAAGTGAACATGTGGTTATGACACTGAGTCTCGAAGCTGTCAAGGAAAGACAAGCGAGGGAGAGTTCTCCCACCTACACACATACATTAATGTGTATATAATTTTAATTACTTAAGAACTATGAAGATTTGTCTCATATATCTATGAGTTATTACTTTGCTTATATTATGTTGACAAATTAATGGCATGTTGACATCCCTGTGATGGAGGTGTGTGCCTTGTTCCCAAAAGACAGTTAATCATTAAACTAATCAATTTGACTCTTAATTAAATAACTATCTTACATACCTTTTGTACTCTAGCTTTGTACTAAGGTTGCTTTTTAAATATTTTTTTCAAACTTTAATAAAGTGAATAGTACCAAATTCAACTATCTATTTGTCTACTACGTCTATGTATGTACAATGGTCCACATAGGTACAAAAAGTACCATCTAAGCAGGAGGATGGGTTGCAAAATCGACAAAGAATGTTTAAAAACGACAACTTAAAGAACAAGACTGGTTCAATGTAAAAAAAATATGGGTGCTGTTAAAACATTAAAAAGTTTTCTTTGGCAAACAAGTGGTAGACAGTTGGAACAAGTTAGATGAGAATTAAGGTGGTGGAGGCCAAAACCGTCAGTAGTCTCAAAGCATTATATGACAGAGCACTGGGAAGACAGGACACCGTATTAGCTCACATCCTATAACTACACTTAGGTAATTATACACACACCAAAGGCCCTCGTGGCTTAGCGGGCAATGCACAGGTGGTGGGGGGGATCATAGTCCTATGGGTCCGGGTTAGATTCTGGCTGAGGAAGAAGCAACTGGGTTGTTTCTTCCTCCAGATGGCCCTGTTCACCTAGCAGTAAACCGATACCTAGGTGTTACCTGGGAGAAAGCTGCTAGGGCCGCATTCTGGAGTGGGACTGTCAGAGAAAAATATATGTAGTAGAAGTGATAGAAGAAAATAGAAGGTCGGGAGTGAGTAAGGTTGGGATTTGACAACCGATGGTTAGAAAGGCAGGGTCCAGGAGCGAACAGCTCGATCCTGGAGGCACAAATATTAAATAAAACAGTAAATAAACACCTACTGGTTACCATTATTTGTACTTTACATATAGTAAATGGTTTAAATAATATGACGTAAACCTTCCATTGGCATATGAAGCAATACTGGAGCAGACTCACCTGTACACCTTGCCATCAAAGGTCTTGTAATGGGCCCCAGACCAGGTGAAGCAGGTGCCCGGCACCTTGGGGAAGATCATAGGTGGCCTCGGTATCACTTCACCACCTTTTTCAAATAATGGAAATTTTAAGAAAATAAATTCAACTAATTTCAATTAAAAATATATTTTATTCCAGTTACGACAAAGAGGAACACATAATGATTTTAGATATTAACGTGTTTCAAAATAACTTTGTATTTCATAGTGAATGGAAGAATGGCAGTCACATTTACGTCGATGAAATATTATTACTCGTGATTTTATGGAATTGTGAATTGTGTGAGGTGGCAGAAGTGTGGATTAGGAAGAGCAAGCGTTGTGGTGTTCCTCCAGAGAGGACTCCATCCTTACACGTGGGAGTAACTAGGTACTTGTTGAGGCCCTACTGTATGACCAGCCTGGCCTCGTTCATACACCACTAACTTCATCTTTCCAAGTCCTTAGTTCAACCTCCCAAAGGTCCAGGTGAACACATACACACACAAAATTGCAATGTGACAAAGATGGCAAACTTTGGTCAATAAGACAAGACCTATCAAAAGAGGACAGAAAAAAACTGAAAATAAACCTCAATGAAGCGAAATGTCTAAATGGGGATAGAAATGAAGAAGAAAGAAATTCTTTTTTCACAAAAAGTGTCAGGGACTGGAAAGCTTGTGAAATGGTACATAAAGACAAAGTAACAAAATCATTAAAGGAAGGGGGTGTAAAGAACAAAGGAAGGGAAATATGTTCCTAAAAATAGTATACACCAACATAGATGGAGTGAGGTAAAAAATATTGGAGTTGGAGGATATAATCAAGCTCAAAGTCCCAGATATTGTCGCATTAAAAAGGACCCAGAATGTGGAATGACCTTCCTAATCATGTTAAAGACTGTACCTCTCTCAACCAGTTTAAGATAAAAACTAAGCACTTCCTAATAAATTCCCTGTAACCTACCTTACCCCTATATTGTGAACCCATGTCTGTTATTTTTTAAACAACGCTGTTTGTCGACCTAATTGTATTTGTGCTGTTTTTTCTGCCATGTTCCCCCCTTTTTTATTTTTATTTGTTCTCAACACATTTTATACTTTAATCTCAATTAGTATTAAGTTTTAGTCTTTAATATTTTTTCTGCCCGAAACGCTTTGCGTAATAGTGGCTTTAGGCACTGTATGTACTAGCTTTATCTATAAATCTATCAATTTTTGTATAACCTCTTGTATGTATGTACTTTACTTGAATAAACATTTGAATTTGAATTTGAATTTTGAATTTTGAGACGAAACTTGAAGAAAATATTTTAAATGAGGTCGTATTCCCAAGGGGCTACTCAGTTTGGAGACGTGACAGGAAAACTAGGAATGGAGGAGGAGTGGCTGTGCTGGTGAAAGAACACCTGAAGGTAAGAGAGTTAATAACTGAAAACCCTCGAGATATTGACATAATGGCGTTGCAGGTCTGGAATCAAGATAAGCTGATAATTTTAAATGCCTACAGCCCACCAGCAAGCAACACATGGACAAAGGAAGAACTGGATGATAAATGAGAGGGTCTCATAATGGTCATGAGAGAGATTATGGTAAGAGCTGACAAAGATAAATCCCGATTGTTGGTACTGGGGGACTTTAACTTTAAGGCAATAGAGTAAGTACCACAAGTGGAGTACCACAGGTTCTTGCACCAGTGATGTTCATTGTCTACATAAATGATCTACCAGTTGGTATACAGAATTATATGAACATGTTTGCTGATGATGCTAAGATAATAGGAAGGATAAGAAACTTAGATGATTGTCATGCCCTTCAAGAAGACCTGGACAAAATAAGTATATGGAGCACCACTTAGCAAATGGAATTTAATGTGAATAAACGCCATGTTATGGAACGTAGAATAGGAGAACATAGACCCCACACAACCTATAAATTATGTGAGAAATCCTTAAAGAATTCTGATAAAGAAAGAGATCTAGGGGTGGTTCTAGATAGAAAACTATCACCTGAGGACCACATAAGGAACGTTGTGTGAGGAGCCTATGCCACATTTTCTAACTTCAGAATTGCTTTTAAATACATGGATGGAGAAATACTAAAGAAATTGTTCACAACTTTTGTTAGGCCAAAGCTTGAATATGCAGCTGTTGTGTGGTGCCCATATCTTAAGAAGCACATCAACAAACTGGAAAAGGTGCAAAGACATGCTACTAAGTGGCTCCCAGAAGTGAAGGGCAAGAGCTACGAGGAGAGGTTAGAGGCATTAAATATGCTGAAACTAGAAGACAGAAGAAAAAGAAGTGATATGATCACTACGTACAAAATCGTAACAGGAATTGATAAAATCAAAAGGGAAGATTTCCCGAGACCTGGAACTTCATGAACAAGAGGTCACAGATTTAAACTAACTAAATAAAGATGCCGAAGAAATATAAGAAAATTCACTTTCGCAAACAGAGTGGTAGACGGATGGAACAAGTTAGGTGAGAAGGTGGTGGAGGTCAAAACCCTCAGTAGCTTCAAAGCGATATATGACAAAGAGTGCTATAGGTAGACGGGACACGACGAGCGTAGCTCTCATCCTGTAACTACACTTAGGTAATTACACACCTGAACTAGAAGAGCCTTGAACCCCAGACCACACATCAGAGCCCAGAGCTCTACCTACTGAGCCACCTTCGCCCACAATTGTGAAGGCTCCCAGAGGCACTTGTCTGCTTCCCAACTGGAACTGTATATTTTAAGCCTTCCCTGGGGTGCCACTTTGGCATGAATGTATTATGATCCACATTCTATTCATATAAAATACTAACCACTACATCATAATAACCTGATATTCACCTGACCTGTAGGAACCTGGAACTGCAGACCAGCCTTCATGGCAAAGTGGCAACACTGCCATTAACTACCTATGTACTGGCGTAACCAACCGGAGCACGAATAAAGGAGTTGAGACTTGCATGTTTTACAAAAGCTTGCCATGACATACCGTATTTGCACTGCGGTACGGGTAGTGGGGACCAGGAGCTGGTCTCATAGTCACAAATGTAGCGTGGTGCCGGGGGAAACTCCCAGACCCCAGGACAATCCAGGACACACCAGAAGTCCAGACCATGGTATGTGCAGTTGTAGCCTCCGTTGAAGTGTAGAGTCTTAGGGTCGCACCTTGACACGTCTGTAATACACAACCATTATTTGATCACCTGCCTGGCAAGCTGCCTCACACCACTTGAATACTTTCTCCAGTGGAGGAAACACAACACTGAAAGAGAGTGAACACTTACGGTACTGGCAGTGGTCGCCGCGGTACTCCGGGGTACACTCACAGAAGTCGGGCATCACACACTTGCCGTCGTTCATACATGCCCGCGTGCACACGGCTGCAAAACACACAAACACATTACACTTAGTCTATATCATCTTCTATTATTTCGTGTCTACATTGTTCACTTTCTGTATAATAATCCGCCAACACTTACCAGTAGTGTTCACTACATAGCCACAAACACATAACCAAATAACCACATTGCCATATGCCATATTTTACCACCATTATCACAATCTTCAAGCTATGAAAAACAATTGAGAATATATGAATATATTTATTATTAACAATATTTACCATACGCACCACCATCCCTCTCCCCCAGAGATACTATACCCACCACCATCCCTCTTCCCCAGAGATACTATACCCACCACCATCCTTCTCCCCCAGAGATACTATACCCACCACCATCCCTCTTCCCCAGAGATACTATACCCACCACCATCCTTCTCCCCCAGAGATACTATACCCACCACCATCCTTCTCCCCAGAGATACTATACCCACCACCATCCCTCTCCCCCAGAGATACTATACCCACCACCATCACTCTTCCCCAGAGATACTATACCCACCACTATCCTTCTCCCCAGAGATACTATACCCACCACCATCCCTCTCCCCCAGAGATACTATACCCACCACCATCCCTCTTCCCCAGAGATACTATACCCACCACCATCCTTCTCCCCAGAGATACTATACCCACCACCATCCCTCTTCCCCAGAGATACTATACCCACCACCATCCCTCTCCCCAGAGATACTATACCCACCACCACCCCTCTCCCCCAGAGATACTATACCCACCACCATCCCTCTCCCCAGAGATACTATACGCACCACCATCCCTCTCCCCTGGTGTGGTGCCCGGAGTTGACGAAGTGCCCTGGAGGTGTGAGGTCCACCGGGGGGTGTGAGGTGCCCTGGAGGTGTGAGGTCCACCGGGGGGTGTGAGGTACCCTGGAGGTGTGAGGTCCACCGGGGGGTGTGAGGTACCCTGGAGGTGTGAGGTCCACCGGGGGGTGTGAGGTGCCCTGGAGGTGTGATGTCCACCGGGGGGTGTGAGGTGCCCTGGAGGTGTGAGGTGCACCGGGGGGTGTGAGGTGCCCTGGAGGTGTGAGGTGCACTGGATGTGTGAGGTACTCACCCAGACATTCCGGTGTTGTGTGGCTCCAGCCGGCCTCCTGGACGGACCAAACAGTATTGTGGCACATCATAGTGAGGCTCATCACGCCCTCCTGGAACTGGTACCCATCAAGACACGTGTACACACATTTGCTGAAACAAATACAGTATTGTTTAGTGTTTCAAGTTACTAAGTTTATATCTACAGGGGTCCCGACTCACAGTCGACAATTACCGTTTTGAATCCCAGGCGAGACAGAAATGGTTAGGCGCGTTTCCTATCACCTAATGCTGCTGTTCATCTAGCAGTAGATAGGTACCCAGGAGTTAGTCAGCTTGTTGTGGGGTTGCATCCTGGGGTGGGTCAGTAATCTATGTATATAAAGCACCTTGTCAAGCACAATTCAGACGAAGTTAGAAAAGGTTCATAGGTGTAAGTTCAAATGTATGCCACTAGGCTAGTCCCAGAACTAAGAGGCATGAGTTATGAGGAAAGGCTGCGTGAATTGCAACTCACGTCGCTGGAAGACAGAAGAATTCGAGAAGAAATGATCATCAGATACAAAATTCTCAGTGAATTTGATAGGGTAGACCAGGATGGAATACTTAACACGGGTGGTATTCACACAAGGGGACACAGGTGGAAACTGAGTACCCAAATGAGCCACAAAGACATTAGAAAGGACTTTCTAATGTCAATAATTAACAAATGGAATGCATTAGGAAGTGATGTGGTGGAGGTACATACACAGAAACTGTGTATGGAGACTCCATACACAGTTTCATAATTAAGCTGGGATATGACAACCATATACATCATTAAGCTGGGATATGATAACCACAAACATGATTAAGCTGGGAAATGATAACCACAGACATCATTAAGCTGGGATACGATAGCCATAGGCATCATTAAGCTGGGATACGATAGCCATAGGCATCATTAAGCTGGGATATGATAACCACAGGCATCATTAAGCTGGGATATGATAACCATATACATCATTAAGCTGGGATATGATAACAAAATAGATGAATAAACTGGGATATGATAACCACCGGCATCATCAAACTGGGATAAGATAACCACGTTTGATGTTTGGATTAAACTCCACGATGCTGATGTTTGGAATTAGCTCCAGGATGTGGATGTGTGGGCAAGCTTCTGGGATGTGGATGTGTGGGTAAGCTTCTGGGATGTGGATGTGTGGGTAAGCTTCTGGGATGTGGATGTGTGGGTAAGCTTCTGGGATGTGGATGTGTGGATAAGCTTCCAGGATGTGTTGATGCTTTAAATAATGTTGCAGATGTGAATATCTGGAGTAGGAAGGTGTGCTTGACAATAACATTGTTATTCAACTACTCATGACAACATATTCAGCCATCAGCAACCTAGAGAAGTAGCGGTGTTGGAGCGTCGCCTGCCCCATAAGGAAGGCCTATGCCAGAGTACGTTGCACTGAACTGGAACAGTAATTAGAGGAAACAATGCAACTTGAAAGAATCCAGACGGTTTCTACCGAGTTGGTCCCACATTTACGAGGTTACGGGTATGAGAGCTGAAATTGGCAGATTTTTGAAAGGAGAACCAGAAAAACATGACTGAGACATATACACGATACTTAGGGCTATGACAAAAGGCAATGCAAGAAAATGAGACGAGTTGCAGGTACAGTATATAATACGTGTTCAGGGTCCGGGTTTTTATCTGGTGGACCAAAAGGCATGAGGTGTAAGGAAACTTACCCAAACGTTTCACCGTCGGTGAGATACAAACCCGGGTAAGAAGACTAAACCTCACATCAAGATGAAGAGACGACGAAGGTTTGGTCCGTCCAGGACCAGTATCGCAATCTACTTGATAATTTATTTATTTATTTATTTATGCATATACAAGAATGTACATAAGGAATGTGAGGATACAAATATGGTAATTACAGTCTTGTAAAGCCACTAGCACGCGCAGCGTTTCGGGCAGGTCCTTAATCTAAGAAAATTTTAAGGAGGTAAATACTTGCAAAAATTATAGACAAAAAAATGATAACAGATTACATGAAATGAAAAAAAAGAAGATGAGAGAAAATTGTAGGTACAGTATATTAAAGCACATAGGTAGCTAAGATTGATTGCAGTGACAGCTTGAATGGTAGTTGACAAAAATTGGTAGTCACAATACAGCATATGGCTAGCACATAAAAGAAGACAGCAATGAACACAATGATAAGGTTGTTTGATATTACATAAAAATTAGGAGATTGGGTAACACTAGGTACAGAGCAAATTTAAAGCTCAGTGTAGGAAACTAAGAAGATGAAGTTAGGTACTTTTTGGTTTTGCTTTTAAATAAGGCAAAAGTTTTACAGTTTTTCAATTCACTAGGGAGTGAGTTCCATAGACTAGGTCCCTTAATTTGCATAGAGTGTTTACACAGATTAAGTTTGACCCTGGGGATATCAAAGAGATATTTATTTCTGGTGTGGTGATAATGGGTCCTATTACATCTGTCCAGGGAGAGTTTCAGAGCATGGTTTGCATTTAAGAACAGGGTTTTGTAAATGTAGTTGACACAAGAGAATGTGTGGAGGGAGTTAATATTTAGCAAGTTTAGGGATTTAAACAAGGGAGCTGAGTGTTGTCTGAAAGCAGAGTTAGTTATTATTCTGATAGCAGATTTTTGCTGTGTGATAATGGTCCAGGACGGACCGAAACGTGGTCGTCTCCGCATGTTCTGGCGTGTGGTTTAGTCTTCATATCTTCAGCCATGTTACTGTAATTCGTCATCTGCAACCTGGGTAAAACCGACTGTTAATTAATGAACTAGTCAACCTAGTTGACTAATGCGCTACAGGTGTGGAAGAGCAAGAGTAGAGGGTGTGAAGACTCACCTGCCCCGGCACCGCTTCCAGGCATTGGTAACCTCAGGACTCGTCTCCATGGGGCACATGGTCTTGGACTGGCCGCACCTTGGACCCTGCCACGCCTCCAAACACTGGCACTTGTTTGGAGCGATGCAGATTCCGTTGTTCAAACACGGTGGGTCGCAGATGGCTGGGGGCAGAGAGACGGCTGTCATTTCCTCGTGACTGATGGAGGGACAAGTGTGCTGGTGACTGAGGGAGGGACAAGTGTGCTGGTGACTGAGGGAGGGACAAGTGCTGGTGACTGAGGGAGGGACAAGTGTGCTGGTGACTGAGGGAGGGACAAGTGTGCTGGTGACTGAGGGAGGGACAAGTGTGCTGGTGACTGAGGGAGGGACAAGTGCTTGTGACTAAGGGAGGGACAAGTGTGCTGGTGACTGAGGGAGGGACAAGTGTGCTGGTGACTGAGGGAGGGACAAGTGCTGGTGACTGATGGAGGGACAAGTGTGCTGGTGACTGAGGGAGGGACAAGTGTGCTGGTGACTGAGGGAGGGACAAGTGCTGGTGACTGAGGGAGGGACAAGTGTGCTGGTGACTGAGGGAGGGACAAGTGTGCTGGTGACTGAGGGAGGGACAAGTGTGCTGGTGACTGAGGGAGGGACAAGTGCTTGTGACTGAGGGAGGGACAAGTGTGCTGGTGACTGAGGGAGGGACAAGTGTGCTGGTGACTGAGGGAGGGACAAGTGCTGGTGACTGAGGGAGGGACAAGTGTGCTGGTGACTGAGGGAGGGACAAGTGTGCTGGTGACTGAGGGAGGGACAAGTGTGCTGACTATAATTGAAACTATAATTTTTGAGTTGATACACATTTGGTGATTAGACACACCCGCAGATTGGGACAATTACCGTTACTATGGCAACATATGTAGGCGGTACTTCATATATACATTATATATATTATATAATATATATAATATAGCAAGTGCAAAATATATGTG